GCAACAGTACCTTGGCTTTGTCTAGCCTTTCACACACAAACTGCAGCCAGAGCACACAGGCGAGGTTTTGTTACCGTCCAACAAAAGCTGCCAAGGGAGGGCCGTGGCTGGCAGAAACTTGACCCTTTTGTCCATTTTAACAAAACGGACCAAAAAACCCCCAAAAACAAACAAAAAAAGAAAAAGTTTGAAATGGGGTGAATTGAAAATGAACCCTTCCTAAAAATTAAAATTCTGCTCCTTTAAAAAAGAAAAAGAAAAAGAAGAAGGCGGCATTAGTTTATTATAGTTTGACACATAGCTCCTGCATTTAATTAGATAGACTGTTGTCTTTGGAGTAGTCTCATTAAGGTCTTTATTGTTTATATAGGCTATTTTTTTGTGTGCCGGTTGAGCCATTTTATCTGCCAGACAGCATTAAACCGACTGTGTGCACTACTTTTTCTGACCCGCTGATTGGCTGATTCACATATCCCAAAAGGCCTACTATAACAAGAAGAGACCTGAGATGTTAAAAAAACAACACACAAAAAAAGAAAGGTTAGCGTGATCAGTGCTGCAAGCAGAAACAGGCAGAGACAAGTTACTGGTAACTGTCAGCTTTATTCTTAAAAGTTAATTTCTTTTTTTCTCCAAGACATAGAAAAAATATACACACAGTACGTCCACAGTATATACGTTCTGAACACCCAACTTATTTCCTCTGCTTGTTTCTGTTTAGGAGGGAATCATGGGGATGAAGTCAAACATTTAACGAGCTGACTGCTAATGTCAAACAAAAAAAAAGTAAAGTAGTATGCGTGGAGTTTCCGATCAGTGTAACGTGTATAGCCACAGAAAGAACAGACACATTTTGACTGGACTGTACAGAAAACAAAAAGTGAACCCCATCCACCAACATCTAGTGTTTCGGATTTTGTAGGTTAACTACAAGTAAACGGAACAAACAAAATAATAATAATTTGATCCTAAGTGATTAAAACTACAGCTGAATGGCCATTTCTGATGTGACTTGTCATCAACAGTTATTCAGTCTGTTGCATTTGGGATCATAAATACTTCCACAACCAGTCTATAATAACTTTGGACAGAAGAAGAAGAGTATGATGAAGCACTGTAGGCACAGCAGGCTTTTCTTACTTACAATATGTACACCTTCTTACCCTTCTGCTTGACTTTGGATAATAAAGACTTACCCAGGGTTTACCCTTGATAATTATACACAAAAAGCAAAAACGTATTTTCTTCTGGCTGAGTAAACCAGATGACTATCGAAAAATTGACTGTCGTAGCACAATGTTAACCCCAAATGATTATGTGAATTTATAACAAGAAGCGATGAGGATACTCGAAACTGTAACCTCTGCACCAGAATGATCTCTGTCCTTCACGGAGTGAGCCACCTGACTTCGACAGGCAGCACAGCGGCAGTTCACCTTAGCTCCTCAGGGCTGCCAATCTTGACTGCATCTCTTCAATGTCCTCCTCTGACTCTTCATCTGAAGCCGCAGTGGCTCCAGCGGGCTCCATTTCAGGCAGGGCATCTGTGACTTTGTTCGGTGCTTTGCCAAGGGCACCTGACAAGAGAAAGCAGAACCAGCGTTTTCAGTGTTTTGACTTTATAGCTGATCTGTGGTTCAGACTTAAACTCCCTAAAAAAAAACCCCAAAACAAACAAAAACAAAAATGTGACTTTGAGCTGTGATTTTATTTTTGTCACCTGCTGTGATATCAAAGAGGATCCTGTCGACTTCCTCCTCCGCTGCTTCCTCCATCTCCTCTCCGTCTTCCATGCTCTCAAAAGTATCTTCCATCATTTCCTCAATGATACCAGCCTGAAAGGTAAATATGCCAAGTTTTAGCTTTACTATGAAAAGTTGTGAAATTTCTTTGGCACAACAATTAAATTGATCAAAAATTTAACACAACTGTAACTAAAATAATATCTCAAATTCAACAAAGCAAAATAAACAGAATTAAAATATTAGACAACATCAGTGACACAGTGTAACAATCACGTAACAATAATATCATGGTAAACAGTGACCTTCGTCATCTCCTTCGACAGCTCCCTCATGGTGGCCTGGATCTCTGGGATTTTGACTAGATTGTGCATGGCTTTCATGACGTCTGTGCTCTTCTGCATTGCTCCAGCAACACGCGCCACAGCTGAAAACACGCAAAACAGATTTCCTCAGTGACAGAGAAGAGCATTGATGATCACAATGTCATTAGAAAACCTGCTCTAAGTGACAAACTAAGTATCCCCTCCTCCCCATCTTGTGCGCTGCCACACTCACCAAGCTGATTCTTCATGCTGAGAACTACAGAGTTCATCTGTGCTTTGGAAGCGTGAAGTTTTGTGACAGCTCGTTTGGACTGAATCACCTCCTTCGCAAGCACCACGCACACATCTTTCTGTCCCTTTTTGGCAGCGTCTTTGATGGATCGTTTAACTTTTTCTTCTTCTCTTTGAATATCTGAAACCAAAATATGTCAATTTCATTACACAGACAACACACAATTTATCAGGTCTTTGATTATATTTATTACATTTACAAAAAGCTAATTTGGTATCTTTATGACTTACTGAGTCAAATGATTATTTTACACCTTCCAGATGAATAATTAAATGACAGCAATTATCAGACAATTCAAATACATTGTACTTTCACTAGATTTATAACTCCTCAGTTTGGTTATCAGATATTTAGGTGAAAGTGATATAAACTGAATGTAAACGGTCCTGGAAGTGTCAAACTCCGGCTGTAGTCTTACCTCGAATTTGTCTGTCCACCACTCTCATTTCCTTCCTGATTTTATGATTCCACTCCTTAACCTGAAAGAGCACATTATCTTATTAAAACATGACACAGTCTCGGTTTCTCGGCCAGCTACAGGTGGATGTACATGTAATATTCGTTTTAACACGGGTGTCGCAATACAACGACGCCATGTACAGCTGCTAATATGTAATGGCTCATAAGGTTGGCTAAAGTGAGGACAGCCATGGTTTGTTTACAGTGAAGACTTATATTAGCATGTATGCTAACAGGCACACTACTATAGAAAGCATAAATCGGCTAATGGACACCGTATACAAGCGTGTGATCTTGAATAGTGTAAAAAAAAAACAACTATGTAAGCTAATGTCAAACTTGTTGTTGTTGTTTTTTCAACTAGAGTGCTGTTGACTACTTAATTATCAGCCTGAAGTATCAACATACAGGACGGACAAGCCCTAGCTGTGTGACAGCTAACGTTAGCAAGGATAGCTAGAGCCACTGTCTTTCTTTGCTTTTTGTCCACACAGCTCTTAAAGACAGGTTCTGGTCACCATCAGTCAGTACTTACCAAATCAGCTGCTGGCTTCTCCTGTGATTTCCCGAACAGTCCCATCGTAAACAATGTGTTAAAAGGCAAGCTAACCTATTTGACTTGAACTAGCTGGCTAGCACAGCCTGTTAAACTATCACTTCCTGTTCTGGCAAGGGGCGCCCCGGGCTGAGTCCGAATATGAGTAAACATTCACGTCCTCAACAAGAAAACAGGGAAATAAGAACAAGTGTTCAAATAAAACTGAAATCGAACGAGACACTCAGCAGTGACGTGTTATGGGTTTGCCCTAAAAAAACTGAAGGCATTTGGATCGAATCAAAAAGAAAGGTATTACAGTTTCTTTAAAAAAAAAATCTCTCTATTCTCATTTTAGTTTAGTCTTTATCATTTTAAGAGTCTGCTATATTATTATATTTTATGAATATAGTGTTAAATAAATAATAACAAGGTGTTCGATGTCATGTGCTGCTGTTCATCCCAGGTTGCATTTACGTACTTGTAAAACTGGCTAAGGACCTGATTTTATTATTATTATAAATATTTTAATTATGTTATTATATGTAAAACCTTAGAATTTAAAGAATGTGTGCATTTTTGTTTTGTTGTGCCATTTAATACCATGACTTTAAACACTATGAAACCCCCCCAAAATTCACAATTAACCATTTATTTTGGAAATAGATAGATAGATAGATAGAACAATATGACAGCAATTTTCCATTATTGTGTTGCTTTGCTAACAACTTGCGGAAATCTGAATAGGCTGTAGTCAAAGTTTAAAAACATTCAAATAATATATTGGGTAAAGCATAATAATATAAAACACCCCCTAAAACAAATTTTTGTTTTCTTTCTTCTGATATAAAATCATGTCTTTATTACTATGCACCGGTTGGCATAAGCCTGTTATGTGTGATTCTATCTTTACTGGAAATTGCCGTTTGTGTGACACGCTTACCTAACTTAAACACGATTCCTTAACCCAATAATATAATTAATATACACATTTATTTATTAGGCTTTTTATCTGGAACATTTTATCTTATGGTAGGTACCTAAACAACTTAGCCAGAAAAGTTATGTATATCATATTTTGTTTAGACAAAGAAGTAAACATAAACAGATAAAACGCATTGAAATAAAACCAATGAATGAAATGAATATAATTCAATGTGATTACGCGCAGTGCAACCCTCTGTTGTCATTTCCATGGAGATAAGACACGTAAACAGCAGCGTCATATGTCGCTATAAACAAATGTTTGCAATAACAGTAAATATTACTGTACAGACTTAATAAGCTTGTATGTATAAGCAATATATCGTCTTAGGGCACTCTAAGCTTTACCTCTCGCAAACAATGCTTCCAGGTAGCGCTTACTTTAATGATATGTACCACTATCTCATCAGATATGATCTAGCTATCAGTAATGTTAAAGTCATAGATATTATAGTTGTATGCGTATTGATTTTGAGGCACGTGAGATGTAAAGGTGGAAACTGTACCTGCAGGTTAAATTTAGGGTAAAATTTACGTCAGGCCCGTGCCGATTACCGATGACGTACTCAATGGTCCCCTTTTCCAGGTGGTTCTAGATTTTTCTGTTATCGATTGGTTGTCGCACCAATCACGTAAGGACATTGGGTGTGACGCAGCCAATCACAGGCGTACGTGGGCGGGTCCGAGGAGATACAGTCAGTCGGAGCCGCTGGGTGATGTTAGGGCTGCCTGGGAGTGGGAGAATCCGCTCTGGACATCATTGCTTTCTGGGATTACACTGAATGAGTTTGCTATAAACAGCTTTACTTACATAACAGCTAGTAATTCAGTTAGTGCACGCTCGGCTAGCCGTGTCGTATATTTTCAGAGCGGACGACACGCTTAAATAAATTTAAAATTAGGAACAGACCGCCATTGTGTGTTATTTTTCCCCCTTCCTCCTAGGTGTGAGTGCGGTCATTTGCGGAGGATAACTTGGGTGAATTTAAGAGCGCTCAATATGTCAGTGGTAGGCATTGATGTGGGTTTCCAAAATTGTTACATCGCTGTGGCCAGGAGCGGTGGCATTGAAACCATTGCCAATGAACACAGTGACAGATGCACGCCGTAAGTATAGCCGAAATATTGACAGACATCATCGCCGTGTAAGTGTGGTCTGCCTGTGAGTTTGTTACGCAATGTTTGCAACTGGAGGCGCACTGACTGAGCTGTGTGATGCACAGGAAGGCAGCAGGGATGGTGGCGGCGGTAGTGATGCGGCCTTAGTTCATTTCCCGTCACAGCAGGTTATTATAGGTCTTTTTTAAATAACAGTTTATTTTTGTAGGTAGTTGAGATGTCTCCTGGCTATCACCACCGAGCTGCGCAGTGCACGACAAGCTGACTCAGTTAACCTACTTGTACATGTTATTTTGTTTAATATGCGTTTTTAAAGTGTTTGCATACTGTACAGACATCAAAGGATAACGAATAGGTTTTGACATGGTATAACGATAATGCGTCAGTTAAGGCCCGTCTACAAACTGCATCTTTAACGCATGCAAGTGCTTGATCAGAAGTGACAGAGGATTAAATCCCAGGGTGAATGTAAGGAATCAACTTGGCGGACTGAAACAAATCATCTCCAAGTGGGTCTCCGTTTCTGTAAACTGAATTTGCTGCAGCATCCGTGGAAAGGAGACTGAGAGGAGCATTGCACCTTTAAGTGCATGAGGATATTTTTCTGTGGCAAGGTGAAGCTAGGGAGTGACTTGTCACTGCTAGCCAATGTGAAATGAATCCTTGTGTGAGGAGAAGCGTTGGTCTTTGTCATTAAACACAACGATTTTCCTGTTTTTTTTCTCTCTTTATTTTGGATAGAAAAAGCTTAATTTTCAAGGTGATCTGCTATGTCTCACTGCCCTAGTTTGTAGTTCTTGTTCAGACACTCTCCCCTGTGAACTATCCCTCATGGCAATGCTCAACATTTCAGATGGCAGCCATCGAAATTGCAGTTCTTCTTCGTACGCCACATCTGTTAACAGGATTACTTCTGTTTGTTTCCCATTAAGGGCCTGTGTGTCTTTGGCCTCCAAAAATCGCATGATTGGAAATGCAGCCAAAAGTCAAGTAAGATCATCCATGAAATTTTATTTTTGGCAGACACATTACATCTTCAAACAGTTGTCTTTTTTTAATCTTTGCTAAGTATTTCCTTTCTTTCAGATTATAACAAACTTCAAAAATACAGTCCATGGCTTCAAAAAGTTCCACGGCAGAGCATTCGATGACCCATTTATCCAAGCAGAAAGACCTAAACTGCCTTACAGCTTGCATAAGCTGGCCAATGGAACCACTGGAATTAAGGTAAAGTACTTTACATCTTTTTCACCACTTCCCATTTTTTTCCCCCCATCTTTGCTTTTTCCATCAACTTCCAAGCAACCGATCACCTTCACCCTTTTGGTTTTTAATTTGCTTCGGGTCTCCCTAAATGCTTGAGTGTTCCTAGGTGCGTTACTTGGACGAGGATAAAGTGTTCACAGTTGAGCAGATCACGGGGATGCTGCTCACCAAGCTGAAGGAGACGTCAGAGAGCGCCCTGAAGAAGCCGGTGGTGGATTGTGTCATCTCTGTGAGTGATGAAAACGGTGCACAAGACTTGTCGGTGTAATTCAGAACGCGGTTTTGAGGAGAACATTAAGATTTGTGCTCTGCTTTACAGGTCCCAAGTTTTTTCACAGATGCTGAAAGGCGGTCGGTGTTCGATGCAACTCAGATTGCAGGGCTGAATTGCTTGCGGCTAATTAATGACACCACTGCAGGTCGGTGTTCTTGGATACATTAGTAACTTTATGAAGTGGCCATAGTCAAACATGGAACGTAAGGGTTGAAAATAAATGTCTTGTCTATGAACAGTGGCTTTGGCTTATGGGATCTACAAGCAAGACCTTCCTACACCAGAAGAGAGGCCGAGAAACGTGGTATTTGTGGACATGGGGCATTCGTCATTCCAGGTGTCTATCACTGCCTTCCACAAAGGCAAACTCAAGGTTAGCCTTTTGCCTTCCTTCTCGTCCTCCAGCTGCATCTGCTCTTTTGTTCTTAAATTCTAAACTCCGTATCAATCTGGTGCGTCAGGTTCTTGCCACAGCATTTGATCCATACCTTGGAGGGCGTAATTTTGATGAGGCATTGGTAGATTACTTCTGCGAGGAGTTTAAGAGCAAGTACAAGCTCAACGTGAGGGACAACCCGAGGGCTGTGCTGCGGCTATACCAGGAGTGCGAGAAACTGAAGAAGCTCATGAGTGCCAACTCCTCCGACCTGCCTCTAAACATAGAGTGCTTCATGAATGACATTGATGTTTCCAGCAGGATGAACAGGTAAAAACCTATTTGTTTTTGTTTTTCATCTCAATAAGCACACTTAATGTGGATATCTAAATTGTTTTTTTCCCAATGTTTAAATCCTCCAGGTTACACTTTGAAGAGATGTGTGCTCAGTATCTCATGAGAGTTGAGATTCCATTGAAATCGGCCCTTGAACAATCAAGTACGCCCCTTAGAGTTATTAATTAATTAATTGATATTAATGTTACACAAAGGAAGAATCTGCTCAGGAATGTGTATGTTTTGTCTGGCAGAGTTGAGTCGGGATGATATCTGTGCAGTGGAGATAGTTGGAGGAGCCACAAGGATCCCGGCTATCAAAGAGAGGATCGCCAAGTTCTTCTGCAAAGACATCAGCACCACACTCAATGCAGACGAAGCTGTAGCAAGAGGCTGTGCACTGCAGGTTGGAAGATCCTCCGATATTAACACCCAGTATTTCTTTCCAATGTAATATGAAAAAAAATAGTAGTGATAAAATGGAGTAAATATGTGTTCGTCTTTGTGGTTTTGCTTGTGCGTATGTGTCTGTGTAGTGCGCAATTTTGTCACCAGCATTTAAGGTTCGGGAATTCTCTATCACTGATGTGGTTCCTTTCCCGATTACTATGCGCTGGAAATCACCCACAGAGGATGGATTGGGGTAAAGATAGCACCACTCTACAAGAGACAGTGTTTTTTGTGATTATGTGTCTGGAGGACAAAAACTGGTTTATGTATACACAAATATATGTATTTCTACCCTGTTTATAGGGTAGTCCTAACCTACAGTACTGTGCAAAAATCTTAAACCGCTTTCAATTCAATCTTTAACTTTCAATTCTTTATATTTTGTAAGAAAAAATGGAAATAGGTTCAGCAGTTTAGTTCATTTCAGTAAAGATGAGGGGACTTGGAAAGGACATGACTTTTCTTCTTCTGTAGATGGTTTTTATGCCTGTCACCTTTTTCTCCTGCGCTCCACTTGTCACTTTTTTTTTTTTTTTTTAAGGACACCCTGCACACCATTCTGATGGTAACAAAGTGCCCAAAAATACCATTTAAAACTGGTCCTTTGCTAAGTTGTCTGTTATGTGTAGATACAGCATCGATTCGTCACCTGAGTTAGGTGGTGTTTTCATGCTAGAGTGATTCATAGGTCAGTGTAACTGGTTCAGTAAATAAAAACATTCTGAAAATTGTCAGTGACTGAACTGAAAATGAGGGAAGAAGCAGCCAGTGTCCAAAGAAGAACTTTGAAAGGAAAGACCTTCAGAAAGCCTGAAGAACTATTGCTTAAGACCACTTTTAAAAACATGAGGGGTGGCTCAAGACTTTTGCACAGTACTGTAAATCGAAAATATAATAAATACCTAAGAGGTCTAGATAAGAGTTGATTATATGGGCATTAATCTAGTGACCTTTTTCATTACTAAAGACTAAAAGTCTGCACTTCAATCACATATTGACTGATGTACAAAACACAAAAACTGTCTTTGTCTCAAACATTATGGAGGCCACTGTATGTATACTTACTGCTTTTTGCTCCTCCAAATAGACGAGTCAGCTCTAGGACACAGTATCTGCTGACTGTGATTACTTTCCATTGCCTGACTTTGCTTTTTTTTTTGGCTAATTTGTGCTACAGAGAGTGCGAGGTGTTCAGTAAGAATCATGCTGCTCCTTTTTCCAAAGTGATTACCTTCCACAAGAGGGAACCCTTCGACCTGGAAGCCTTTTACAGCAACCCTCAAGAACTGCCCTACTCCGACCACAGGATAGGTAATGGTGCTAATTCTGCTCTATTAGCATCAAAGTGATCAGTCCTTACTTGGTTTTACATAGACATTGCATGTATGCATGTATCAGGTTCCTTTATTAACCAGCTGCACAAGTATGCAGAAAGAGGCGGCTAATGTAGGTGCGCTAAGTAGCTGGCCCAACAAATTGGATGGCAATTAGGAGTAAGGGAAGCAGGTTCTCGTGTGACTCAGCCGAACATCATAATTATCTGTACTGTATGTGTATCACCATGTGGTGGGTGGGTGTGTTTTCTCAAGTGGGATATCATTTATTTTATTTTTTTTTATATGCAACTGCCAGTTTCCTGTCACAAGAACATGTTGATGTCCTATTAAAGAAGCCGGTCCTTTTCTTTCCATCTGCTTCCAGGCTTTTTTTCAGTACAGAATGTGGTTCCCCAGCCAGATGGTGACAGCTCTAAAGTGAAAGTCAAAGTGCGCGTCAACATCCACGGCATCTTCAGCGTGTCCGGCGCTTCTCTGATTGAGAAGCAGAAAGGAGAGGGCGAGGACATGCAAACTGATACAGAGCCAGTGGTGCAGAATGAGAGCAGAGCAGAGGAGCAGGTAGGATTATTGTTGCCACAGTCACTCTTGTGATGCCACAGATGTCAGCTGGTCGGTTTCTTTGTGCCGTTCAGAGTTAAAGCACAACAGCTATTGGATAGAATGGGTACTATTCACATAAAATGTATGTTCCTTATTGTTTATCAGTGGATTTCCGCCACTTAAAAATCAGCTTTTTTGTAGTTTTTTTGAAAGATACTATCATTAATTGATCTTTTATATGCAATGAAAAATATCTAATGCTGTGACACCTGACTTAAATCTTCGTTAAAATAATTATGTATGTGTCTCAGATCAAAATGCAGGTGGATCAGGAAGGCCAAACCCAAGGGGAGCCGCAGAATGAGGATGCCAGTTCCAGCAGTAAGGTTAGTCAGGCTGCGATTTAAAGATGCTTTAAAACTGCATGTTTTTCTTGTTTGTTCTTGCTCATATCAGACTGTATTGATAATAAGACAAGCAGAACCCTGATACTGATATTGTTGAGACATGCTTTCAATTAAATTAAGTATTAAGTAATTCATGTATTGTCACAGATTCTGTATGCGAGCTGCTGAATTCATGTCAGCGCTGCTCATTGATGCATCTGTGCTACAATTAGATGGACTCATGCAGTATTAATTAGTCTAAAAAAAATAGATGATTATTTTGGCAAGGTGCCCCATGTTTGGAAATCCAAAAAGGCCTCATTGTGTTCTCTGGTTTCCAAATTTAGGAGGGAGCAGCTGGTGAGAAGCAGGACCCAGCAGCAGGAGGAAGCAAGCCCAAAGTCAAGGTGAAGAGTATCGATCTTCCCATTGTGATCAACAACATTCGACAGCTTGACAGTGACGTCCTTTCTAACTTTGTGGAGTATGAGGTGAGTGTTGCAGGTGGCCTTTGGAAAAAGCCGAGTCATGCTCTGATACAAGGAATTTTATATCTATGTATGAACATCTACTGTTGTAATATATTTATGACAGAAAATCAGGACAAGCACAGGTTTTATTCAGAAATGTCATACTGTAATATCGCCTTGGTTGAATCATCCGTAATTTTTTATTTTTATTCATTCATTTAAATTTTTTCATCATAGCGTCAGATGATTATCCAGGACAAACTTGTGAAAGAGCTGAACGACGCAAAGAATGCTGTGGAGGAGTATGTGTATGATCTGCGGGACAAACTTTGTGGGATTTATGAAAAGTACATCACTGAGGGGGTAAGTAGTACTTTTTGCATCTATTATAGCAGCCCCCATGTTGCAGTAAACGACTATTATATCTGAGACGATGTATGAAGAACTGATCTGTATAAACATTTCATGTTTGTTAATAACAGGACAGCAACCGGCTGACGCTGATGCTGGAGGACACAGAGAAGTGGCTCTATGAGGATGGGGAAGACCAACCCAAACAAGTCTATGAGGAGAAGCTAGATGCACTTATGGTATGTTTACATTTATTACAAGAAAGATTTTGCAGACTACTGCATACAAAAAAATATTTATGCCCCAAATGCTAACTTTTAGTAATTTGATTCGATGTAAATTTTCCATTTTGTTACATAAGTAAATAAACCGGTTCTAATATAGCGCTTTGCTACTCTGCTTGAGCACTCGCTCATACAACATGTCTCATTCACCCATTCATACAACCACCAGCCTTATGATTAGTAGATGACCTGCTATATCTCCTGAGCCACAGCTACTACTTAGCACGCATATTTTCCTTAATGATTACTTGCTTAAATAAACCTTTGATTTTATAAATCTCAGTGGCACTTTACCCAGAATTGTTGCTTTATGTTCATGTTTCATTCATTCATTATATAATCTTATAGATTGTAATTTATGCTGTGATTTGGAACTTTCTAAAAGTTACGTTGAATGAAGAGTAAAGATGTAAGAATATTTTAAAGTGGTAGTAGCTTTCAATGTTAACGCAAATTTTTTTTTATTCTCCAGAGGTTGGGCCAGCCCATTCAGGACCGGCACAGGGAGCATGAGGACAGGCCGAGAGCATTTGAGGAACTGGGAAAGAAACTGCAACTCTACATGAAGTTTGTAGATTCCTACAAACAGAAGGTAAGCCCTCTTCTGACTGTGATGTTCTTCCATTACTCCTTTACAGGAAAAAGACAGAAGTAGGATTTGTGTTTGGAACTGCATGTTTTGTGCAGTGCTTTACAAATACTGTGTTATGCGAACAGGAAGCGTGATAAGACATGTACACATAGATGACTTGACACTTATAAGAAATACAGTCTGTAACTGATACTTGAGGTATGTGACAAAATAACCATTTATTTTTATATTTTACTGAGAGAATATGTTGATGATGTCTTACTATGTTTATATCCTTGATCTTGTATTCTAAGTGTTTAAATTATTTTCGTATTTTAGCTTATATAGTTTAAAGTGTATTTTGTTATGGGAAAAATATAATAGGATGACTTTGTTTTAAAAGAGATCCATTTTAGACCTGCTAAAGGTTTTCTTCGTCAAAAACTCTTTCCCAGGACGAGCGATTCCTTCATTTGAGTGCAGAGGAAATGAGCACTGTGGAGAAGTGTGTGACTGAAAGCATGGGCTGGATGAACAGCAAGATGAATGCGCAGAGCAAACTTGCTTTAACTCAAGACCCAGTTGTCAAAGTAGCAGACATGATCGCTAAAATCCAGGTGTGTGATCCGCTTTTTAAGATCTAATAATCTTCTTCCTTTAGTGAGAATGACATCTTCTGATTCTCCTTTGCTTGCTTCTTCTCCAGGAGCTGGAGGACATATGTAATCCAGTGATCAACAGGCCAAAGCCCACAGTGGAGGAGGCCCCCGAGGTGAACGACCAAACCAGCGGAGCTCACAACGGCCCGACGGCTAAGCAGGGAGGAGCGGAAGGAAAGAGGGAAGCAAAGGGGAGCCAGCAGACGAAGCCGGGCACAAAAGAGATGGAGGTGGACTGAGATCTGTGTCCGACGCGCAGACTCCGCAACCATCAACGCGTTTACCGTCACACGGCATCTAGACAGGCGCAGAAAAATCAACACCTGGGAACATTTCTCAGTCCTCATCAACCACTTATGTGGATCTGGTTTTTTTTTTTGTGTCCTCTCCCATTGGATTTTACCATTTGAGGTTTTTTGTTTTCATCCTTACGTGTGACACTGGTGTGCTTTAGTCTCTCAAAGGTTTGCCATACTAAAAAAATTAAAGAATGCCACAATAGATGAAAATATGAGTCTGTCGTAAAACCGATTCCTTCGTATCTCACAGGAAGGTACGCTTTGTGTTTTGCATTCCACGTGTCTCTTAAGTGTCCAATATCACCCATAAGAGAAATAGACAGTGCTGTCCATGCCACTGCTAGTGCAAACCTTTTAGTTAGTATACAATAATACAAATTATATTTGTATTCAACGAGTTCGAAGAGATATGTCCGTGTCTACAAACTGTAAATATTATTTTAGTAAACAAAAGCAGCCAGCATAGACATGTACATAGAGAACACATTCTAGTGTTACAATGGAAATGCTCATATACCAAGTTTCCTTTAGTGATTGGTTGCCTATTTCCTTTTTTTTTTTTTTTTCTTGCATTTTTCCATATTTAATTGAAGGTGGGGAAAGAATAAACGCATTTGTCTGCAAGACAAATTTGTACGTGTGAAATGATTGATTTTCAGAAGAAAGTGGCCATCTGTGCTGTACTTATGTTTTCAGATGTGATATGGAAAGTTTCAATATATATATATATTGAAAGTCATTTGTAACAGTCATTTACTCTTAAACATGCATTAACCTGTAATGTTTATAGATGGCCTAAGAAACCAGATCCCGCAGAGTGAACATGAGTCCAGGGAGAAAGTACCTCAGGTTACTTTAAACCCAGGATCCTCTTACTGTGAGGAATGTTTTGCCTTTACTGCACATTATGGTTCTCCATTTTTGTTTTAAAACAAACTTTCTTTGTCAGCAAACCAAGACAAATGAGAGGTCGAGTCCTGTGATTAAAGCTGATTTAAAAAAATTAAAAGAAAGTTACTGGATTAATTCACGATTAGATAACATTTCCTTTAATAATACACGTATCATTTAAATTTATAATTTTAAAAGTAGTAGCTGATTCCATATATGCAGTTCCTGTGTCTGGACGACCCCTGATATTAAATTAAATGTAGATCATTGAAGCTTCATGTAACTCCTTCGCAGCCACGGGGCGCTTGGAGGAGGCGTGGCAAAGCTTAATGTTGTCAAGTGACGCGGGGTGTGACGTAGTCACGGAGTAACGGGCGGATATTTTCAAAATGGAAGATATGGCAAAGTTTTGGAGGGGAACGCGAGAACAACATTTATTCGTCGTGTGAGGACTCCTGTAGCGGCTATCCATGCACTCTGCCTATCGGGGAACATTATTACAAACCTGCACGCGTCTGCGAGGCGAAAAGCCGCCACGATGAGTGTTTCGATCGGAGATAAAATTGAGGTGAGTGCTTTTGTTGGGCTAACGCCCACAAGCTAGCGTCCACTCGGACTGATGGCTTGTTCTCGTGTCAAGTCAAAGGCTGGAGTTACAAGTTAGCTAAACAATATCGCACTGAGAAGGAAAAAAACCACTCAGTTTGCTTAATATAATGGGGATATGTTAAACTTTTATTTAGTCATAGCTAGATATTATACTACTTAAAATCAATTACTAGGCGATAGTTCAGTTTTTCGTTTTTAGCTTGTTTCACGTGTCGTAAAGATATCGCTCTTTACGATTGCCTAAATGTATTCTTCTTCTACTTATTATTATTGTTATTGTTATTTAGTAGTACTAGTAGTGGTGGTAGTAGTAGTTAATGTAGTAGAAAATGTCAACATCGTCTCTGCGGGTGTGCAACCATGCTCCCCCAGGACAGACATTGTTGTGTCGCGTCAGTTTGGGGACCCGTCATGCTGCTTGGAAACGGCTACAAGTGGGTCCTCATTAGCGGGAAGAGACCCGGGATAATTAAAGGTTTTGGTTGGCCATATGACGGCGTCAGGTGTTAGTGGCTTGTTTGGCAGTTAACGTTTGTTGTGGGTGGATTTCTCCCGTGTGGAGTCGTTGGTGGTTGTAGAGAACAATCCAGCAGGTCGTAGGTTACGGGAAGGATGTTTGACCAAGTTCTTCGCCATGGCTTTAACAACCTGACTGCTGACTCCCATGCTAGCAGAGATGAGAAAGGAGGTTTTTGTTATGATCAGGAGTCGAGGATCGAGGTGTTTGCTTTTAAAGCTCTCGCTTCCCGTGGGATTTAAATTTAAAAATGAAATCATGCTCACATTTTCCTGCAGATGCGTTGTTTGTACAACTTCTCTTTTTGTGCACGCAGGACTTCAAGGTCCTCACTCTGCTCGGGAAGGGCTCCTTTGCGTGTGTTTACCGGGCCAAATCGGTGAAGACTGGTCTGGAGGTTGCCATCAAAACGGTGAGATAATCTACATCTTTATCAGTGATGCTGTAAAATTGTAAACTTGGAACTACTGGGTTATGACATATGTTGCCTCCCGTGGGGTTCTTGTGGTCTCTTGACCCGCCCCACAGATGAGCTCTCAGTGTTTCGTTGCCATTGTGGGTGGGAAACTGATTATTAGGATCAAACCAAACTGTACAACATGCCACGCTGAGCCAATGAGTGGCAGGTGTATAATTATCTCTGTTGTTCCCATCTGCAGATTGACAAAAAAGCAATGCACAAAGCCGGCATGGTCCAACGTGTGAGGAACGAGGTGGAGATTCACTGCCGACTGAAGCATCCTTCCATACTGGAGGTAACGCTGACAAGCCACAGATGATTTTTTGCCATAAGGTGCTTGATACACAACACCAACCCTGCTGTTTATTTAAATTTGCCTTCTCCTGTAGTGTATCTATACAATATACATTTTCTGTTTTTTTTTTATGCATCACACACAGTTTAATGATGCACTTTAATAATTTGAAACGTGTGAATGCTTGCTTAGTGTGAGATTTACAGTTAAAGTTAACACCAGTGCTGTAGCTGTAGGGATTCCTGTGTCTTTGTGGGACTGTTGTGTTTGATGATGCATATATCAGCTTTCTGTATTGTTGTCATGGTTATACAGGGCGTCCTTGATAGTACTTTGTGTAGGCGCTCCACCGATTTGTTTCCACTTCACTTAATCAGTAGTCTGGCTAATCTTCAGCTTTAAAGATTAACCAGGAAAGCAGGCAGTGGTGGTCCCACTGACACAGCTTTCAGGACCACAGTAGTACAATCATTTTAAAATCCAGTCAGATATATTCTATATTTTGTTCTTTCTCAATGTTTCCATATTTTGAGACGATGGTAAATGAATCATATTGTTATGTCTTTTGTTTTTGTGAAAGCTTTACAACTACTTTGAGGACAGCAACTATGTGTATTTAGTGTTGGAGATGTGCCACAATGGAGAGATGAGTCGGTACCTCAAAGAGCGAAAGATGCCTTTCTCTGAAGATGAAGGTCAGGCACATGTGTTTTTGTTTAGAAGCCTAAATATGAGTTGTGTTGTCAGCTTTGTGAGTTGCTACTACTGTAAAAAAAACAAACCCCAACAACAACTTTATTTTCGCCCCACAGCGAGACATTTCATGGACCAAACAGTGAAAGGGATGCTCTATTTACATACTCATGGGATCTTGCACAGAGACCTAACTTTGTCCAATCTTCTGCTGACCAGCAACATGAACATTAAGATTGCAGACTTTGGCCTGGCCACTCAGCTCAAACTCCCAAATGAAAAGCACTTCACCATGTGTGGCACACCAAACTACATCTCCCCAGAGGTGGCCACTCGCAGCGCCCACGGGCTGGAATCAGATGTTTGGTCACTGGGATGCATGTTCTATGCTTTCCTGATGGGTCGCCCTCCATTTGACACAGACACAGTCAAGCACACTTTGTCCAAAGTGGTTCTCGGGGACTATGAGATGCCTACCCATGTTTCTCTGGAGGCTCAGGACCTAATTTATCAGCTGCTGCAGAAAGACCCCGCCCAGCGACCCAGCCTCTCTGCAGTACTGGACCACCCATTCATGACCCAGAGCCTGCTGGTCAGGACCAAAGAGCTGGGGCTTGGGGATGACGGGTCCATTGACAGTGGCATTGCCACCATCTCCACAGCCTACACCTCCTCCACCTCTGCCAGCAGCGGCAGTCGCCTCCAGAAGCGAACCAAGCACATGATAGGCTCTGCTCTGCCTAATCGCATGGCACCCATCCCAAGCCTTCCACGCCAGCCCAACAGTGCCTGTTTTGAGGATGGAGACCAGTGGCAGCAGCAGCAGCATCCGCTGGAAAGGTTCAACAGAGAGGGCAGGAGCAGGGCGGCTCACGGTGTAGAAAGCGGAGAGCCTCATTCTCGCTACCTGAGGAGGGCTCACTCTTCAGACCGTCCCATGTCCACTTCAACAGGTTCAACTCATGCTGAGCTGGGGCGATGCCACTCAGAGGAGACTCTGGCTGGTATAGGACGCCCAGTCTTCCCCGTGTCCTCCACTCCACACCCGTTTTCAGAGCACGGAAGACTCCCATCTCCACCTGTCAAGCAGCCAGCAAAGTAAGCAGTCAGTCTGTTGATAATCTTTTTTTCTCTCAGGTTATTGAGACTAACAGATGACACTCTCTATTTCAGTTCTGGGTATTTTTCCACAGAGACCGCACTTCCACCAAATTTGCAATTTCAGGACTTAGAGGGAGTTTCTAATTGGCTCAACACTGAAGGTAAAATAACACTTTTGTGCTCTTTTGGTTGTTTTAATCATGACTACAAAGTTTTCCAAAAGTTTTGCTTTCTTTCTCAGCCTCTGGACAGAGGTCCGCAGATAGCAGCGCCCACAGCAGTAGAGGACCTTTAGGCGTTCACAACTCCTGGTCAGATAAGCCCATGAGCCGAGGCGCGAACCTTCACCCCAACCTGCACCACCAGCTTCTTTCCAACTCCGACTCATACAGGGAGAATATCCCTGGATTAGAGTTCCAACCTCCTCCTGACAGAGAGTTAAAGCTCTCTTCAACCAAACCCAGTACAGATAAGCCGAAGAAAACGCTGAGAGACGTAATCCCGCCTCTGTGCGCCTCCCGACTGAAGCCGATCAGACAGAAGACCAAAAATGCTGTTGTAAGATTTTAATCTTTTTTTTTCTTCCTTTTTTAAAAATTTCTGTGTGAACAGTGGATATATTTTTAGATATCTCATCTTTTTTCTTGTCTTCTATCCAGGTGAGCATTTTGGACACGGGTGAAGTTTGTATGGAGCTGTTAAAATGTCAGAGTGGTCAAGAAAGAGTCAAAGAAGTCCTCCGGATTTCCTGTGATGGCTCAATGGTACAGTTTCTGTAGGGCAATCAGCATTTATCATGCAGTTACTTAATAAATCTTTCCATGTTTGAAAAAAATCTTCAGTCTTGTAAGTTGTGGCTTATTATGACCATCTGCTGTAGGTGACGATATACCAGCCTAATGGTGGAAAGGGTTTTCCTGTGCTGGACTGCCCGCCAGCTCCTCCAGAAGATATTCTCATTTGTAGCTACGAGGATCTTCCAGGTATTCTGACGGATGCATCCCACCCATTAATATCAGATAATAAAATAAAAAAAAAGTGAAATAAAATTGTAATTGAG